TATTTATTTATTTCATGAATATAATTTAATTCTAAATTATTATTTTGGCATATAGCAACATCTATAATATATCATTTCTTTTCTGTAATATTTTGATAATATATATCTGGTCTTCTAGCATTGAATTAATTGTCATTAACCAATAAATCTTTATTGTAAGTTATAACCATTTCATCATTATTAATACATTTTGGAGGATTATTAAAGTCAATTGCATCAAATTCATTAAAATTTGTAATTAATATGTGTTTATATATTTGTTTACAAACATAATCATGTTTTGATATTTGATTCTTTTTCATTACATCACAACAATATATGATTAATAGATGCAATTGTGTTATGACAATGTTTACAATATTTTAAATCATCATTTTGGAGTATTTTTGATTTAATACTTCCTGTCATAGTTACTCATTCTTGCATCTTTACTACTTGGAGGAATGCATTTCTTTTTATGTTCAATGACTTCCAAGTGGCTACTGTTAATTTCTTATCATTGAAAGTGCCATTTGCACATCTTATATATTCACCACATTTCTTTTCTTTCCATTCATTTAAATATCTTTCATTTAATTCATTAGTTACTCATTCAAATACTTCCTTTACATCGTGTTTTCTTTCATTTATTTCTATTACGTTCATTAATTCATTAAAATTAATCTTCTTACCAAATGCTTTCTTCATTCTTTTAATTATTCAATTTGGATTTTCTTTTATTGCTTCTATCATTTCTCCTATTTCTGTGTTTGATCTCCACTTATATTTTAAATATATTCTTAATAATTCTTTACCACATTCATCTCTTGCTGACATTAATCCTAATCCCATTTCATTTATTTTAACATATAATCTACTTTTGGGATATTTCTACTATATAATTGGAGGTGAATTAATGCTTTTCTTATTTGTTTATCTATCTTCTCCAATTCTCATAGTTTCCATGGGACAATACTAAATCCATATCTTAATTTTGAGATTATATCATTATTAATCTTTCTTATTGTATTGAGGCTGCTGTATTTCATAGTATTTAATGATGATAAAATAGAAGACACATCATTTAATATTCTTGTACAATATTTGTTGATATTTACTTTATCTCCTATTTCAATACCAAGATATTAATAAGGATTATCATTAGTTACTCTTGGTAGTTCAGCTAATTCACCATTTATTTGACTATTAATATTAGTCATTATCACACTCTTTTCTACATTAATTTTTAATCCTATTGCATTAAATATTTCTTTAGTTAATTTGTTGGCTTTTTCTATTTCATCGAGGCTATTAGTTATTATCTTTAAATCATTCATATACAATATGTGGTTTAACTGGACTTGTTTTTCTTCTCCATTCATTTTAATATTCAATTTGTTAATTTGTTTATCTAATTGTTTAGATAATACATCAATGGATAATACAAATAAAAGTGGAGATAGGCTGTCACCTTGTATTATTACTCTTTCTACATTAATTATACTATCACTTTCTTGATTGTAATATAAATTAAGATGTGTATTATTTAATATATATAATATACTATTAATTACTACTAGTTGGATATTAAAATATATTAAACATTGTTTAATCCATTGATGATTAATACTATCATATGCTTTGGAGACGTCATAATATGTTTCTAAACACTTCCATTTAGCCTTTATTAATAATTGTTGGATTGTAGTGTTGTATAATAATCATTCTTTTGATGCATATGTATATTTCTTACATCCAATTTGATTTAATGAAAGTTGTTTTTCAATTGGATTTAGCATCAATTGATTTTCTATTTTCATTTTTAATATTGATGTATTTATTTTTAACAGACAATTTAAGCAAGTTATTGGGTTGTAATTCTGTGGGTCTAATTTATCTCCTTTTTTATATATTAATATTGTTCTTCCTTGAATAAAGTGAGGAGGTATTTCATTATGATTATTTAACCATTCATTAAATAATTTTAATAAATATTTCATTGGTTGTTCTAAATATTTAATCAAAAATCCTTGTATTTTATCAACTCCCGGTGCCTTCCAGTTAGCAATAAATTTAATAGCACACTCTAGTTCATTGGGAGTGATTATAGATATTCTATCATTAATTCTATTTTCAATTAATATTCAGGAAATCTATATTAGTGTTAGTTTCATAGATTCCTTTCCAGAAATTAATAGTGGAGATATTATCTGGATATTCATCTTCTTTAGATTTATTTATGTGTTGCCTTTTTCCGTATTTCATCATTTTATAATTCAATCTTATTCTTTTCCAATTATTCTTTCTTGCTTCTATTTCTATTATTTTCATCTTTCAGAGGTATTTATAATAGTTTATTTGTTCAATTGTTTTTATTTTAATATGGTATATATCATATTTCTTAATATGTAATATTCTTTTCAATTTCATATATTGTTTATTATGAAGTAAATCTCTTAATCTACATATTTTTGATTGTAATATTCTTTCTATACTTCTCTTTCCACTTCTTTCTTGTTTATTTTTATTAATTATGTTAATAGTGGAAGCTACAGATTTAATATAATGATAATACTCATCTAATGTATTGATTAATATTTCATTTTTATTAATAATATTAATTATTTGATGTATTTTCTTCTTATTGTAATAATAGTTAATAAATTGTACATCTTCTTGTTCTTTCATTTCTTCTTCTTTAAATATTTTCATTACCTCCTCTTCTTCTATTTCTTCTTTTTTGTTCACTTTTGATATTATTTCTTTTAATTCATTATCTTTCCATTGATGTTTTATTATTTCTTCCTCCATTATTCTATTGATTTCTCTTTTAATTTCATTCTTTATTTTAAATGTCTTCTTTATTATTTCTTTATATTCATTAATATCATTAACTTTAATTCCAAATTCTTGTATTATTCTTTCTATTATTTCTTCTTTAAGTTGACATCTTAATTTTCTTTCAAATAATTTCAAAACAAAACATTTATAAAGTGTTAAAATTTCTTCTTTTCTATCTGTTTGCTTCCCCCGTTTTTTTGCTTGTCTAATTCTAATGTGGTGATCTTCTTATGCTGAATATCAATTTCTTCAATGGATTTCTGCGTTAACTTTCTTTTTTTTGGAAGATCATCTTCACTTGATGATATTTCATCAGCTACTACCACATTGGGGGAGAGGTCATTTACTATTTGTGTTTCAGATGAGTCTGTTATATTGTAAGTTACCTCATCTTTCTTCTTTTCTTCCTGTGTATTTTCATTTTCTAATTTATCTTTCAGAAAGAGCAATTGTTGTGTTAAATTGTTTACTTCAGACCTTTTTCTTTCAGATTCAGCATGGAATTTGAATATTTTTTTATCACACTTGTGGTTTTTTGTGCTTATCTCATTCTCATGCTTCTTCTTTAATGTCATAATATCCTTTGTTAGTTTATTAATGGTTTGGTCTTTTATTTGTATTTCATTTTTCATTTCTTCTTTCTCTTTCATATCCTCCTCCACTTTCTTTTCTATTTCTTCTACTCTTTTTTCCTTTTTACTGTTTTCTTCTTCCTTTTCTACCAGCCTCTTCTTCTCTCCTTTAGTGATCTTCTTCTCCTCAGCAAGCCTAGCTTCTACTCTCGTAGAATCTTTATCATCGTCTTCTTCATTTTCAATACTCATTACATAGTTATTGTATATTCTATTGTCTTTAATCTCATTTGGGTTGTATTGATTATTGTCTTCTTCCATCGTCATACTAATAGTTTCTTCTTCCATTCTGATTGTTTTGGTTTTTTCTCGTGCAAGAAAATACCATCTTCTCCATATTGTTGATGATGTATATTCTTTAATCTTGGTATTTTTAATTTCTTCTACTTCTTGTGGTGTAAGTATTTTAATTTCTTCTTCAAAGAGTCTTTTCCAATATTCTTTGTTTTGTGTTTCAATGATTTCTTTTCTTTGATTTCTATTTTGTTTCTTATTTTGATATTGTTTATACCTTCTTTGAGTGTTATTATGGTATTTATTTCTATTATATTGATACTGTTTATTTCTATTGAAGTTATTATTAAAGTGTTTATGACGATGATTATGATTGAAGTGATGAGTGAAACGATTTGTATCATCTATGTTGTGATATTTATGGTAATAATTGTTATTGTAATGGTTAGTGTGATTATTCATGCATCTCTGTCCATACAGATAATACCTATTTTCACTCATTCCTCTATCATTTATATTTCTTGGTTGATGTGAATTTCTTCTTTTTTGGTTATTTATTTTTCTGTATTTTTTGTGGTGTCTCCTGTATTGCATCTTTTTTAAAATTAAACCAAAAAAAAAAAAAAAAAAAAAAATAAATTTAAAAAAAAATTTTATTATTCTATTAAACTAAACTAATCTACGTTTCTTTTCTTTGTTTTTTAATATAAAATATAAAATATTTATTATAATTTGTGTTAAATTTTTTTTAAAGTATATTTATCTAAATACCTCAACTAATAAAAACAAACCAAACAATATGAAAATATAATTTTGTGTTCTATTAAACTTGTTTAGAATATCCTAGATAACTACAAATCCTTGTAGTGGTATTAAATTGAATAAAATACTTATGCTATTATATACATACTTTTAAATTACAATATGTCTAGCATTAATTACGTTATTTATTTTGTTGTTTAATTTTGAAAATAATTATTGTTATTATTTACCTCCTGAAAGAAGATATTAAATACGTGTTTTTTGTTATTCTACTATTATACTCATAAACGTCTTTTCTACTCATTTTAAACTTTTCCAAAAAAAACTTTTCGCTTGACAATAGTAACTTTCATGTAACAAAAACAAATAAATAAAAAATTATATGAAGATCTTTAATTTTCCTTAGTCTTGAAGAAATAAGAAAACTTAAAAAATATTTTCAACAAATATTGATACAAAAACATTTTTTATTACAAAAATTTTGGAAAAAAAAAACAAAAAAGAGGGTTTTTATCTTAACAAACTTAACTACCCTCTAATAAATATCAAATCATGAAAAAATTAGATAGTTATTCGTTATTGATTTGTAGTAAATATTTTCGATATAAAAGTGATTTTATTAACGTTATTTGTGTATGTAAAAAATTTCAAGAAACATTAGAAAAGTTTAGATACAATCCTATCTCAATATCAAATCTTCGTCTTTTTCCTAAAATTCAAACACAATGCCTGTACCATAAAAACGAAATTCGTCTTCCAATAGAAACATATTCATTTTATTATTTCTTAACCTATAAAGAAGCACTTAATCAAATGAAGAATTTTAATAAATGTCATCAAATTGTTTATACCCGTTCAGATCGTGAAGAATTTGGAATTGACATTCCACAAAATTTTGCTATTAAAGCTTTAGGTGATAAATGTTTTGAATCCACTCCAATTCAAAAAATTATCATTCCAAATACTATTAGAAAAATTGGACAAGAAGCGTTTAGTCAATGTACTCAATTAACTCAAATACAACTTCCATGTACATTAAAAGAATTACCAGTTTGTACATTTTTTAATTGTATTGAATTAGAGAAAATTGAAATTCCATCTTCTGTTTCAATTATTGATGGGGCATGTTTCTTTTGTTGTAGTCACTTAACTGAAGTAAAATTCCCACAAAATATTGTATCTATTGGATATGAAAGTTTTGCATTTTGTGCACGATTAAAAGAAGTTGTTATTCAAGGAACATTATATTCATTGTTTAATAAAAGTTTTTTTGGATGTACAGCACTCAGTTCAGTACATCTTCCAGATACTGTAAAATTTATATCTGACTCATGTTTTGAAAATTGTAGTAGTTTACAAAGTATTAATATTCCATCAACAGTAGTTATGATTAATCAAAAAGTATTTAAAAATTGTACATCTTTAAAAGAAATAGAAACTCCACCATCAGTAGATTATATTGGAGAAAGATGTTTTGAAAATTGTTATTCATTAACACGTTTAAAAATATCAGATACGACAGTAAATATATCATGTAATTGTTTTTTGAATTGTACTAGTCTTCAAACATTAGAAGTTCCATTAAAAAATAATGAATATCCATTTGATGTGTCTTATTATGACAAACAAATATTAGAAAAGTTTGGTATTAATTGTGTTCATATTAATTTTTTTAGTAGTGGTTCAGTATTAACATATAACCCATTAACTCATGAACCTAAAATACCTGATGATGCTTTAATTATTGGTAAAGAATGTTTTAAAAATATTAGAGAAATTCGTTCAATATGTATTCCAACAAATATAGTTATTATTGATTCAAATGCCTTTGTTGGATCTTTTATTACATCTATTTATATTCCTACATCAGTTACATATATTATTTCTGGAGCATTTAGTGATTGTGTTAGATTAAAAGAAATTCAATTACCATCATCAATTTCAAGTATTGGTTGTAAATTATTTATGAATTGTTCTGCTTTAACTTCTATTACAATCCCTTCAACAATTACTTCAATTAATGCAAGTGCTTTTGAATTTTGTATAAATTTAAGTACTATTTCTCTTCCACCTCATTTAGTTAAACTTAAAAAGAATGCATTTTCTGGTTGTGTTCAATTAAAAGAAATACTTTTACCTTCTTCTTTAAAGCGTATTGAAGAAAAATGTTTTTCTGATTGTCATAGTTTAACATTTGTTTCAATTCCAACAACAGTTACATATATTGGAAAAGACATTTGTTTAAATTGTAGAGGTCTTAAAAATCTTATTATTCCATTAGAAAAAGATTTGTCATATAAATATAAAGTTAGTTATCAACAGTATCAATTATTTTCTTCATTAAATATTCATTGTACAAATATCCAATTTACTGATCAGGATTATTTACAGAGAAGAAATAATAATGTAGATACTATTATTCCAACTGATGTTGATCTTCATATATCTAAATTATGTTTTTCTAAGTTAGTTGAAAATAGCTTTATTCTTCCACCAAATGTTATCTCTCTTGGAAAGTCTTGTTTTCAATCATCTTTTAATATAACTTCAATTACACTTTCTACAAATATTACTAAAATAAAGTCTTATGCATTTAATGGTTGTTCATCTCTTAAAAATTTAATAATTCCATCTTCTGTTCAATATATGGGAAAGTATTGTTTTAAAAATTGTGATAATTTAACGTCACTCTCTCTTCCAACAAATTTACTTCCATATACTTCATTAGTAAGTTATTCTGAATATCTTTTATTAAAAAGAAATAATATTGAATGTCTTAATATTGCACAAGTAAATGATGATGATATTTATGACTCAAAATACTTACCTTCAGAAATCCAAACATTAAATAATACTTATTTTGATTTTTCTTCAAAGGAACTTATTGTTCCTTCTCATATTACTAAAATAAAAGTTGGTGTTTTTTGTGATTGTTTTCAAATGTCTAAAATTCAAATTCCTTCAAGTGTTGTTTCAATTAAAAGAAATGTTTTTTCTAATTGTCCTTCATTAAAAAGTATTGAATTACCTCCTTATCTTAAAAAATTATCATCTTCATTGTTTTATTATTGTATTTCTTTAAAATCTATTGAAATTCCATCTAAAATAACAAAATTATCTAACAATGTTTTTGCTGAATGTCATTCATTAAGTCAAATTCATTTTCCAAATCAATTAAAAAGAATTAAAGGGTGTTGTTTCTTTAATTGTAAAAATCTTTCTTCAATAACTATTCCATCTTCAGTTACAAAATTAGGAAAAAGATGTTTTGATTTTTGTCTTGGGCTTCAAAAATGTAAATTTGAAGAACCGTGTCAAATTAAAAAGATTCCAGAAAATTGTTTTAGAATGTGTGATAAATTAGTATCATTTAATATTCCATCTTCTATTGAAATTTTAGATAGTTCATGTTTTTATAAATGTTTTGGATTAACATCTATTCATATTCCTTCTAATGTTAAATCAATTGGACAATGTTGTTTTAAAAGATGTTATTTTTTAAAAGAAGTAATTTGTGATCAAATTCAAGAAATTGATAAAGATTGTTTTAGTTATTGTTCTAGATTAGAATCAGTAATTCTTCCTTCTTCATTAAAAAAGATTGGACAAACTGCATTTAGTTATTGTTCTGCTTTAAAAGAAATTTGTATTCCTGATTCAGTTGAATTTATTGGAGGATTATGTTTTAGTGGATGTAAACAATTAACAAGAATAGCATTATCGTCACGACTAACGTCACTTTCTTATGATTGTTTTACAAATTGTCATTCTTTACGTTCAATCATTATTAATAATACTCCTATTTCAAATTATCCATTTAATGTATCATTACTTCAATATATATATTTCTCAAAAAATAAGATTCCTTGTTACAATATTACTCTCTCTCAAGATGAAATATATTTACTTTCTACAAATATCCCTCATTTAGTAAATTGTTTTAATGATAATTGTTTTAGAAATTCTGTTAATTTAATGAATATTTCAATACCTTCTTCAGTTACTTCTCTTGGAGAATATTGCTTTAAAAATTGTATTAATCTAACAAGTATTACTATCCCTTCTTCTATTTCTTCTATTCCTTCTCATTGTTTTGATAGTTGCTACAATTTAAAATCAATAATACTTCCTTCTACAATAACTTCATTTGGAAATCATAGCTTCTATGGATGTTCTCAATTAGAGTCTCTAAATTTAATCCCTAAAGAATGTTTTGAATAACTTGTTGATTCGTCTTTAAATGTTTAACATTTTAAATTAAATAAAAAAAAAATAGTTAATTATTATCCGAATGATTAAGTTTTTATCTATTTGAGAAGTGAATGATGTAAATTTTTCAATCTGTTTTATTTGTATTGAATCAATTTTTTTTCAAATATTATCAAGTTATTATTCTTCATTTAAGTTGCTACCTGGTTTTTATTTTGAATTTAATGAATATTAAAACATTTATTTTTCTTATTTTATGATAATAAATTAATAACACAATAATTATTTTTTATCTTATTTGAATATTAATAATCATTAATAGAACCATATTTTTCTTGGTAATACAAAAACGTTCAATTCAAAATTATCATTATCAATATTATACTTTTCATGTTAATAGATAATACCACTATCATAAATAATAATAAATAACAACCAAATAGTCTTGAATAGGTATTATCTCACAAAAAAATATCATCAAAACTAAATGGTACTTGATGGAACAATGTTATTTTTTTATTTTAATTTTGTGAGTAGAGTTTCTGACGTGTCATTTTAGAATCTTATTCAAGGTTTTAATTTAAATAAAAAAAGGAATAAAGATAAAGTATTTTTTCTGTATAACAGAAGATCAATAAATCTTCTTAATTTAAAAATATACTTTTTATATTAAATGTATTTAATTTAATTTATTTTTTCTTAATAAGGAAAAGAAGAAATAAATTTTTTGGTTTAAAAATAAAATGAAAAGATTAAAAATAGGTTTTTTATTGTTTTTAAAGAGGGATTTTAATTAGTTTTTTAATAAAAAGAAAATAATAATAATAATTTAACTCTAAATGAGGAAATTTAAATTGAATACGTAATCAACCCTTTTTAAGTGTTTTAAACTGATTATTTTCATATCAAGGTTGTATGGGTGGAAAACCATCAAAACAAGAAGAACAAAAGAAAGAATATACTGGAGACCCTAATGGAACTTTATATTATTCCATTTCTGGTAATGAATTATCAGAGATGATTACTAATAAAAAAGATGAAACATTCCTCCAATTAGGAGGTGCTAATGGAATTGCTAAATTACTTGAAACTGATGTAGATAAAGGAATTTGTGATGAATCATACAGTAAAAGACAAGAACAATTTGGAAAGAATAGAACACCAGATCCTGTTCTTATTCCATTTTGGAAAATTTGGTTTGATGCTCTCAAAGATAAAACACTTATTATTCTTATTATTGCAGCTATTGTTTCATTAATATTAGCATTTGTTGTTCCAAATTCTACGGACAAATGTTTAGCTAATGTAACAGAAGAAGAAAAAGAATTTAATACTGATTGGATTGAAGGACTTGCTATCTTAGCTGCTGTATTAGTTGCTTCACTTGGAGCATCTATTTCTGATTATTCTAAACAAAAGAAGTTTTTGGCTCTTTCTAAAGATGAAAAAGATGTAAAAATTAAAGTTATCAGAAATGGTGAACAACAACAAATTTCTATTTTTGATTTATGTGTTGGAGATATAGTTAATTTGGATGTTGGAGATCTTCTTCCAGCTGATGGAGTTTTTGTTCACGGTAATGACTTAAGACTTGATGAATCTGATATGACAGGAGAATCAGTTGCTGTTAAAAAATCTGAAAAAAGTTTCTATATGATGTCAGGAACAAAAGTTACAGATGGAAATGGAAAAATGCTTGTTGTTGCAGTTGGACCAAATTCTATGTGGGGAAAAACAATGGAAGCAGTTAATCAAAATAAAACAAAACCAACACCATTACAAGAAAATCTTGATAATATTGCTTTGAAAATAGGATATTTTGGAATGGCTGGTGGAGCATTAGTATTTATTGCTTTAACAATTTATTATATTGTTTCACAATTTACACATAGTGATGTATTAAAAGCAGATGAAAATAATGGAATTATTGCAGGATGTCTTGAATGTAATGTTACTAGAGAAGACCCAATGTGGAATGAATATTGTGAAAAATATTCATTTGACTGGAGTTCATTAACTGTTTTGATTGATTACTTTATTTTGGCTGTAACCATTATTGTTGCAGCAGTTCCAGAAGGACTTCCACTTGCAGTTACTATTTCATTGGCATATTCAATGAAACAAATGTTTAAAGATAATAATTTAGTAAGACATTTAAAGGCATGTGAAACAATGTCAAATTGTACTAATATTTGTTCAGATAAAACAGGTACATTAACAGAAAATCGAATGACAGTTGTAAATGGATGGTTTGGAGGAATTAAAATGGAAACAAGAGATCAAAAAGTTTCAATTGCTAAAGAATATGAAGAACTTATTAATATGAATATTTCAATAAATAGTTCACCATCTACATCATTGGTTGAAGAAAATGGACAAATTAATGTTATTGGAAATAAAACAGAAGGAGCATTATTAATGTATGTAAAAGAAAGAGGAGTGGATTATTTAGAAATTAGAAAAAGAAATGAAAATAATATTTATCAAATGTTTGCATTTTCAAGTGCTAAAAAGCGAATGAACACACTTGTTTGGATAGACAAACCAAACACTATTAGAATGTTTACAAAAGGAGCACCTGAAATGATTTTAGAAAAATGTCAATATTATATGAATGGACAAGGAGAAATTAAAGAATTAACAGAGGAAGTTAGACAAGAACTTGAAGAATGTCAAGCAGAATGGGCATCTAAAGGATATAGAACATTATCATTATCATATAAAGATATGACACCAGCTAATCCAAATAATTTAGAGGAAAAGTATGAAGTTGCTAATGAAGAAGGATCTATATTATTAAGTTTATTTGGAATTGAAGATCCAGTCCGAAGAGAAGTTCCAGGAGCTGTTGCTACATGTCAAAGAGCAGGAATTATTGTTAGAATGGTAACAGGAGATAATATAGCAACAGCAAGATCAATTGCACAACAATGTAATATTATTTCAAGAGAAAATGATATTGCAATAGAAGGACCTAAATTTGCAGAATTAACTGATGAAGAAATTATTGAGAAATTAGAAAATCTTAGAGTTATTGCAAGATGTTCACCACAAGATAAAGAAAGACTTGTTAAATTACTTATTAGTCAAGGAGAAGTTGTTGCAGTTACAGGAGATGGAACGAATGATGTCCCAGCACTTAAAGCAGCTGATGTAGGACTTGCTATGGGAATTAGAGGAACTGATGTAGCTAAACAAGCATCAGACATTGTTATTTTAGATGATAATTTCCAATCAATTGTTAATTCAGTAAAATGGGGAAGATGTGTTTATGATAATATTAGAAAATTCCTTCAATTCCAATTAACTGTTAATGTTTCTGCTGTGGTACTTTGTATTATTGGTTCAGTATTTGTTGGAGAATCACCATTAAATGCACTTCAAATGTTATGGGTTAATATGATTATGGATACATTGGCAGCTTTAGCACTTGGAACTGAAAAACCAACCGATTCATTATTAGATAGAAAACCATTTGGTAGATTTGATTCACTTATTTCATTTAAAATGTTAAGATCAATTCTTTTCCAAGCAGCATATCAATTAATTATTACATTAACTATTGTTTTTGCAGGAAAATATATTCCATTCCTTGATGCACCATGTGGATTTGTTAAAACTGTTGGACATTCTGGAGGAGAAGATTTTAGTAAATATTGTGCAGGGGATAATATTGGGTTTAAGAGTATTAATGATGTTAAAACTGATACTGTTGAACTTCAAACATTAGTATTTAATATGTTTGTCTTTGCTCAAATCTTTAATCTTTTCAATTCAAGAAAAGTAAATGGTGAACATAATATTTTTGAAAGGTTGTTTACAAATTGGTACTTCCTTGTAATCTGTGGTGGTATTTGTATTTGTCAAATTATTATTGTTCAATTCCTTGGTATTTTATTTGATGGTGTTCCATTTAATCCATCACAAGGTCAATATGGTCTTTCATGGCAAGGTTGGGTATTATCAATTGCTTCTACTATACTAACCATCGTTGTTGGACAAATTTCATTCTTTATTCCTGTACCTGCATCTAAACCAAAGAAATTTAAGAAAGAGTCAGCCTCACTTTTCAGTAAAATTAAAAATAAGTTTGGTAAAAAGGAATATGAGTCTATTGGTAGTGATGATGAATAAAATACTTTGACTATTTTGAAAAACAAAATAAATAAAAATTATTTTTGGTTATTTTTTAATGTTTTAATGAATTAACAAAATATTAATTGGTATTTGATTTATTTTCTATCATTCTTTTCTTTACATTCATTTAATGTTTTTTAAATTTCATCAACTTATTTATTCTTCATTTAAGTTACTATCATTTCTTTATTTGAATTTTAATATGTATTAAAATTCTCTTATTCTTTATTGTCTTATTTTATGCTGAATATTTTCCTACCATCATATTATTAATTCATAATATCATTTATCATAAACTATAACATATACTACATCTTTTTTCTTTCATAATACCTCATATTATCATATATACTTGAATTATAACAAATACATAATATACTATCATCTTTACAAATAATTATAATAATTAATATTCTATCATTATAAATAATAATCGCTACTATCCTTGAAATATTCAATAAAACATTTTCTTACCAAGTCAAATATCATAATTAAATAATAATTGGTGGTTCAATGACTTATTTTATTTTAATGTTTGTATGAAGTATCTGACATTATTACTTTCAAGTTTCGAGTTAAATTATAATTATACAATAAATATAAGAGAAAATAAGACATAATAGAGAATTAATATACGTAGAAATAATATCCATAATATTATTAATAAATAAATTAATACTCAATGAGTTTCTAAGAAGATTAAAATCACTAAAATTCCAATGAGACTTTCCCATTAATACATTAAAAACAATAATAATCAAAACTATGAAAGATTTAATGTTTTATATTTTCAATTTTGATAATATATTAGAAGAAAAATTATCTAATTTTCATGTGATAAAAAATATATTTAAATATTTATTAGAAGTAAAAGATAAGGTAGAAAGTGAAAGAATCACTTCTTAATATGAAGAAAAATTTCATCCATTTTTATTAGAAGTAAAAAAAAATGTTAAGATCTGAATATATATATTAATTAAACAACTAATTAAGATATGTAGTAACAATCTATAAACAATACAAGTAAAACAGGAATAGTTTTGTTAGTTTAAGAATGAGACATATATAATATCTTTTTTTTATGAGAAATAGAGAATAAAACCAAACTAATATTAACTTTGTTTAATTCAATACACTAATGTGTTAGGATACAAAGAAACAAATCAAAATTCTTAACAAAAGATAATTCAAATTGAATTAAAGAATTTAAAAACAATGAGACAACAAAAAAGTGTTTTTAATATCATTTTTATTGGATTTAATTTAAAGAACTTAAAAAAAAAAAAAATAAATAAATTAATGCCACCAAAGAAAAGTAAAATACATATAAACGAAAATGAATTAAAAGAAAATAATGATAATAATAAAGAAAATATAATAAAACAACAAATAAATGAAGGTAAATATCAAATAATTGATAAATCGTTTGAAGTACTTGAACCATTTTTTCAAAAAATAGAACAAAGGAAAGGATTTGGAATGAAAGAAGCAATTATATATCATTCAGAAATCTTTGATTTATATATTAAATTAGACACAGGAATTAATGAAGAATTAAATAACTATATTAAACAAAAAATTGAAGAACGAATAACAAAATTATTTAATTATTTTAGTGAGTTTGTAATGCAAAAGTCATTAGATAAATTTGTTTCATCATTAAGAGATACACTTGATTTAATAAAAATTGTATCACCAGAGATTATAAGAGTATTTAGTTCATATGATGAAAGTGTTGGAATTAATGAACAAGTTACAACATTAATTAAAAGAAAACGAATAGAATTTATTAAAAGTATTAAAGATAAAATGGATATAATAGACAAATTAGTAGAAGTATGGAGATTATCAAGAAAAGGAGAAAGTGTTGATGTTTCAGTTGTATGTGATGTTTTAGAGTTTTATAAAGAATATCTTCCATCATTACAAGAATATAAAAAAATGTCAAAAGAGTTTTATGATACTCTTATAATTAAATCTATTGATAAATATAAAGAAATTAGTGATGTATATTATCAAAATGGATTAAAAAAATATCTTGAATTATTTGGATGTTTTTATTGTGAAGAAAAAGATAGAATAAAAAGAGGAAGAATTGATAATAATGTTGAAGAAATATTATTAACAAATTTATTAAAAATTATTAAAAAACAAGAAAATAAAGTTAATAGTAGTATTGAAGAAATTGTCAGAGATAAAAACTTTGCATTACTTAAAAGAATTGATGAACTTTTTATTGAAAATAATCAAGAAACAGTATTAAATAATACAGTTAAAAGTATTAAAAGTCTTTTATTAAATATGATTATTGGTAAAATAAGTTTAGATAATATTAAAGAATCTGTTGAATTAATTATTGAAATATTTAATCTTTGGAAACAATTCTTTCATTGCTTTAATTGTAAAGGAAAAGCTAAAATGGAAAATTTATTTAAAGAAGTACTTATAGAACAATCAAATTATATAAACGATAAAGATAATATCATTATTCCTACTTTACTCTCTCGTTATATTAATTTAATTATTAGAAAAAATAGTATGGTATGTGTAGATAGTGATTCAGTTAATAATACAATAGAAATTGTTTTTAAAATTGGTGAATTTATTGTTAACAAAGATATTTTCTGTCATTTCATTTGTAAAAACTTTATTGAACGATTAATTTTAATGAATAGTAATGAAGAAAATGAAGAAATATTAATGAAACATATGAGAAATTTTGACCGTCTTGGAGTAATGAAAATGATTAAAATTCAAACAGAATATAATCAATCTATTGGTTATAGTCAACAATATTCACAAGAATCAAAATCAAATAATTTTAATTGTCTTGTTTTCGGTGGATTAAATGTATATTTAAAAGATAAATATCAAATGAAAATTGACTCAATGACAACTGAAAGATTTGACTCTTTTACAAGATTTTATATTAAAAAGAAACCAACTCAAAAATTGACAATGTGTCTTGAAAAGTCAAGTGGAATAATTAAATATAACCAAAAGTATTTTATAACTGCAACATTACCTCAAATGATGATTTTATTATTATTTAATACTCATAACATATTAAAAATTTCAGAAATTGCTCTAGATTTAAATCTTCCTTCTTCTTTTGTTAAAAATGCTATCAGTGGAATTATTCATAAACAAGTCCTTTGTCAAAATACTAGTCTTATTGAAAATGAAACTCAAGTTTCTGTAAATACAAACTTTAATCTTAAAGTAAGAAAAATTTCAGTAATGATGGTATTGAAAAAGTTGATTAGCCAAACCCAACAAGAACAAATAAAAAAAGATGATAATGATGAAGATGAAATACTTAAATTGAGAGAAAATCTCTTAAAATGTACAATTGTTAGAATTATGAAACACTCAAAAGTTATGAGTTGTCAACAACTAATTCAACAAACAATTACTGTTGTACAAAAAACTTTTAAAGCTCATGTGAATGTCATCAGAAGAGTGATTGAAATATTGATTGATCAAAATTTTTTAATGAGAGATGGACAAGATATTCAATATGTTGCTTAATTAATCTCTCTTTCCTTAAACAAATATTATTTTTTTTTTACTCTTTAAATTATACTTTTAACTCTTTATGAATTGCTTAATAAAAAGAATTTGTTATTTCGATTAATTAACAATTTGGAATCTATTCTATTTTAATATAGATTATTCTAAAACTAAGTCAATTAAAATTAATGTTCAAGACAATCAGTCCATATTCCATCACCTGCGTATTGAATTAAATCAATAACGACTCCTGAATTTTGTTTTTTGATATCAACAGCAGATGCTTTCATTAATCCAATGGCAAGAGGAGATTGAACTCCTTCTCCCATAATTAATACATAATTCCCTGCAACAATATCATCTGGTAACTTTCCTCCAGCAGAAGTTAATCCTGGAGCCATAATATTACTTCCACTTAAAACGTGTTTAATTGCTCCTTTATCAACTTGAACTTGTTTCATCATTTCAGGGTCTAAACTATAAATATATATATTATAATTAATAATAAACTAATTTAATACAATTATTTTGTTGTGACTTAATTATAATTAACTAAAACATTATAAACAAACAAGTCATAGCAAGTTGAAGTGTTGGAATAAAATTTTCTTTTTGTTGGAAGAAATAAACTTTGTTATTTGATAAAATTGCTGTTGAATGATCAATTTTTGAATTAGCAGTAAATAATGGAATATTTTTGGGGAATAACTCATCAATAGGAAGTCCTGGGTATTGAGTAGAAATGCTTTGTTTAATATGTTTTGTTTGTGATGCTTTAACTTGTTTTAAAGGTCCAAAATCTTCTCGTGTAAACTTTCTAAACATTCACCTTTTCTGATAATTTGTAGGTTTTTTCTTTTAAACTTTTCTTTTTATGTTTTTATAATTTTAAGAATAGTTTTTTCTTATAAATTTTTTTATTGAATAGTTTTGATGCATATCTTTTATCTCACAAGAACTTGAAAGTGAATGTTATTGAATTATAGTAATAATTGATTTGAGATATGCTTTCGATAACTTTTTGTCAAAATATGAAGATTCAATCTCTGTTTGTTTTATTTGACAATCTTCACAGAAAATAGTCTTTAGAGTATTTATTAATTTTAATAACTCTTCTTGTGTACAGTCATTCTTTTCTAAAAAATAGCATATTGGAAGTAATCCAGATAATTTGAAATGCTTCTGATGGGAATGGAATAAAATATTCAGAGAAGAAACTAAAGAATGACTGTATAGAGGAAACAATGCATTTTCCATAAAATGCATCCCATAGAAGTCAATTCCTCTATGAACAAGTACATTCATGAAATGATTTTCTACTGAAATACCATACATATCTTTAATGTTCAAAGTTTTAAAAGAATTTTCATTTAGTTTTTTAATACCATTCATTAATTCAATTGAAGAAAATTCACAATAATGGAAACAATGAGAATAGACAAGTGATAGTGTATTGGCTAAATGGATGTTATTTAATAAAATTGAGATATTAAATCCATCTGATACTGTGAGATTTGAAATCGTTCGGTTGAGAATTACCTTTTCAGGTTCATAAATTCCAAGACATGAAGGGGCATAACCAAGACAACAAGCGGGAGATTGGTTTATGAGAGGAAGGACACATTGTATAAAAGGAAGAATTGAAGGTAAAAATCCAAAATATTCATAAGAAGTAGTTATTTCATCTAAGGCTGATAACAAAGAAATAGTTGAAGGATCAAATCCATATTGAACTCTGAGATAAATAGCATAGCTTTGTATTTTCATAACGTTCATTGGTGTTAATGATGTTTTTTGATCCAAATATGACTTAATTATTGATTTATATTCTTCTAAACGAATTCTTTCAAATGAGTATAATGGAGGATTACATTTAGGCATTGAAAGAGGACGAAGACTTTGGCTGATAACTTCATCAATTTTCTTATTTGGCATTTTAAAGTTTGAAGTGAAAGGGATTAGAATCTTTACAATTTCTTGTAATACTAAAGCAAGTGATAAATTATATAATTTAATTGAAGGAGAAATAGTACGTTCTGAAGAAATTCTAATAATCATATTGATTGTTACAGCTGCTAAAATACATGAGAAACAATTAGAAACCTCAATCATTGATTTAACGTAATATGGCATTCTTTTAAATGAATTTTTTCCATAACAACAAACAATCATCTCTATTGTGAATTGAATTTGTTGAATATGTGAAATCCATTCATGAATTAAAATAATATTCTTATTGTTCGAATGAAGATTTAAAAATAAATCAAAATCATTTACACTAATAAGGTCATAATATGATATAATAGAAATAATATTTTCATAATACTTAGAATGAAAAGACTCCATTACTTCATTCATCCAATCAAAATTATATTTTTTATCATCATTGATTGATGGAGGTTTGTCTTCTTTTGAAACTAAACAAATATTTTGTAAAGTAGGAAAATTAATATGACAATAATCTAAAATTCGTTGGGTTGCGAGAAAGTTATTTTTTTCATCGTTATTTACATAAACTCCATCACATAAACTTTTAATAAACCTTTCAAATGAATTTGATGAGTCATAAATTTCATTATCAGAAAATTTAAACTCTATTTGAATTTGATGAAGGTAATGATCTAATTCTTTTAATGATTTGTTATTTGTTTTTAATTTTAGTCTGCATTGTTCATAGAGTCCAATTAAATACTGAAAAGTATAACAATGGTCTTCATTAAAATCAACTACTAACTTTTTATTTCTACTTTGTATTTCAAGAGATTCTGTTTTATATGAATCAATTAATTTTTGAATTGAACAATAAATACCCAACATCATTCTTATTGTACGTTCATCATCATAAGAATAATGATTTATTTTCATACTTTTATCTAATTCAATAAAGTGTTGTTTCATCATTTTAATTTCAGTAAAGTGTTGTTCTTTAAATGAACCAACTAACATCATTCCTAATCTTCCAATTTCACAACTCAACGTTCCTGGAAAAATAAGACTTTTATTATCACTATAGCATTCAATTAATAAGTTATATTTTTGAATAAGTTTAATACATTTACTTTCATCATATGTTCTCGTTTTAATTTCTTCATTTGAATTGATATAGATGGAAGTTGGTTTCATGTTGTAAAAATTAACTTAGTGATTTATAGTTTATTTTACTTAAAAACAATTATAAAAAAATACGGATTAAGAAATAAATTAATTTTTATCAGAAGAACTTTCACTTTTGAATGTAGAAATATTCTTAGTGATGAAGAATGAAGCAATGATAAGAAGAAGAGAAAGCCAGAAAATAATTGCAAAGATAAGTCCCATCCATCCACATAAAGGGAACATTAAAAGTCCTCCAACAAGATAGAAGACAATGAGTGTTGCTCTGTTATAACAAATGGTAATAGTTTTAATAAATTTAACTTTACCAAGGAATGAAAAGAATGGAAGAAGAATAAACATTAATCCAAAAACAATACAGAATAATGCCTGAAATAGAAGTGCCAATCCACTTTGAGATGTAAAAGCAGGGAATTTACTTGGTGACCTATACTTAGAATACTTATTCTTACAAAAATGGGTAATACCAGTAATAAGCATTAAGATTCCAGAAACGATAGTCCAAACGAAAATAACAATCTTACCGATTTTTGATAAGTTGATAGTTACCATTATCTTTTTACTGAATTAATCAATTACAAGATGTTTTTTTTTTTTGAAATATCTAAAATTATCCTTTTTAGTTTTCGTCTGTTTATAATTCTAAATAAAGCATTTTTCATTTGCTGAAAGTTGAGAGATGAAAGTGATAAACCATTCAATTTAATATATTACTATAAATCCATAGTTATGAGAGATAAAGGAAAAAATTATTCTATATTTAGTTTGAGACTTTTCTTCTTTATATTAATAATTATAAAGAATAATATTAATTTTTTATAGTTTTTTTATCATTTTTATATTAATAACTACTTAGTGTCTCTTTCTTTCTAAAGATTTTTAATTTAGGTTTGCTTTTTTGTTGTTGAACGTAATTATAGCTCATAATTTCAAGTTTTTTTCTTATTCTCCTTTTAATTGAAACTAAAACGTCAAAAATAAGATATGGAAAAAAATTTTAAAAGAAAAGAAAATAAAAGAAAAGAAAAGGAAAACATACTTTAAATAATTAAGTAACATTTATTTGTGTTATTGAAATACAAACTTATAGAAGTTGATTTGTTTTTATTAAAAAAACAAAAAATAAAAAATAAAAACAAAACTCCAAAAGATGGAGAATTAAGATGAATGAAGAGATTGAAAATTACTTTCAAGTAAGAGTTGATTCATGCCAAAAAAATGAGAAAACGAATGAGGTAATAGTTAAAATAACTGTTACTTCAGTTGAGTTAATGTGGAATGTTTATCGAAGATGGAAAGAATTTATTAAATATTTAATTTCTTTACAAAAATTAACAACTACTCGATCTATTTTATTAAAAGATTGGTCAGAAGAAGTGATATTAGAAAGTAAAGAAAAAATTGATGATTTACAAACATTAATTAATGCATTATTCTCAAATGAATCTGTTCAAAGAGAAATAGAAAAATCTCAATTCTTTTTTGAATCTTTTCAACCAGTGTATAGTTTAGTAACAGTATTACATGAAGGGTCAATGAAATTTTGTGATTGTTTAATACAAGACAATCTTCAATTCACATCATCTCATCTTGTTTTATCTCAAAATTATCACCTTTATTTTTACCTTACGACTGATGAATTTTCATTTCCTGTGATTGACGTTTCATTACCTATTCATTCATGTGTTTATGTTCACTCATCACCAACTAATATCTTCCTTTCAATAGATACTAAAACTGTATTTATTCTTCAAATGGCAAATTATATTGAAGCAGAATGGTGGTCAAAATTAATTGCCCGTTTCCCATCATCTAAGTCTAAAATTCCAAGTCCAATTAAAAAAGTCTTTGAATCAATATCATCAGTATCACATAACATATTTGCAGAATGTTGTAATGAGTGTAATCCACATAAAAAGAAACAATTAAAACAAGAAATTAAACAAACAATTCAAAATAAAAATGTTATCACTGCATTAAAAAAACTTAAAACTAAGAATGTTGTAGATAATGTTGGAGAATTTGTTGAGTTATCAGTTCAGGCTATAATGGGGACAAACTTGGAAAGTGTTCAAACTACATTAAACAGTTCTGTTTGTTTAACTATTAACAATGTAATTGTAACTGAAAATAGGAAATTAAAAGACCTTGAGATGAAAGAGACAGACTTTATTAGTCTTCAAGCTGTGAACAAAGAAATGAAAATGATTTTATCTGCTAGTGCATTACATGAAGAAGAATTAAAAGAAATAAAAGAAAAAGAATATAAGAATAATGATAATAAAATTAATACCCAATTGACTAAAATAAATCAAATTAATGAAAAAGAGGGAGTTGTAAGTAATAATAGAGAAGAAACTTTAAATAATAATTTGAGTTGTTATCCATATGAACATCTTGTAAAAATTTATTCAGGAATTCTTCATTTACATTTACAATATAAAGCTGGACCACCTGTTACATGTATTGGACTTAAATTTATTGCAGGATCTTTAATTATTACATCAGCTAGAATAATTTTTAGAGTAGAAAAAGGAGATTATGATAACCAAGAAGATGATGGATTATTTTCTTCACCAAGAAGACTATGTTCTGAAGAAGGATTTGAAATACCTATTCCATTATTCTATGAAATTAAAAAAGAAAAAGTGTTATTACCTTCTATTGGAAATTATTGTTGTGTGTTAGTTAAATGTAAAAATTTTCATCAATTTAGTTTAGCTTTTTTCGATGGAAATAAAGCTGATGAATTAGAAGATATTATTATGAAAGCTGTAGGGCGTGGAAGACTTCATGAAATGTTTTATTTTAGGGGGAATTATGAAAGTCCTATATATTATGACAAAGAGCTTGAAAGATTAGAATGGAATAAAAGTGGAATGAATTTAGTACGGATTGATGTAAAAGGATACCCAAATAAAGTTGTTGTTCCAATTGTAAATGAAGAAGAAATTAATCAAGTTATTGGATTTAGAAGTAAAGGAAGAATTCCAGCAGCTACTTGGTGGAATAGAGAAAAAGGTGTTATTATGAGAAGTAGTCAACCATTAGTAGGATTAAAAACAAGTAGATGTTTTAGTGATGAAAAATTATTAGAAAAAGCAGCTCAATTATCAAAAAATAAACGAATTAGCATCATTGATTGTAGACCTAAATTAAATGCATCTGCTAATTTGATTAAAGGTATGGGGTTTGAAGATATTCGATATTATAAAAATTCAGAGATTATCTTTTTAGAAATTGATAATATTCATAAAATGAGAGAAAGTTTTCTTGAATTAACATCTGTTACAAAGAAACTCTCTTATTGTAATGTTGGTGCAACAGATGGTATGAAAATGATTACTAGTTCAAAATGGTTATATCACATCAATAAAATACTTAAAGGAACTTATTTAACAACAAATAAATTTCTTAATGGAAATTCTTTACTTATTCATTGTTCTGATGGATGGGACCGAACAAGTCAAATCGTTAGTTTAGTTGAAATTATTATTGATCCATATTATCGAACAATAGAAGGACTAGAAGCATTAATAGACAAAGACTGGATTGCTTTTGGACATAAATTTCAAGATCGGTGTCGCCATTTTATATCCACTCAAAGTATTAATGAATATTCTCCAATATTTCTTCAGTTCATAGATTGTATTTACCAATTTATGAGAATTTTTCCAAAAGAATTTGAATTTAATGAAACATTTTTGATAGAAATTATTCAACAGACTTATTCATGTTATTTTGGTAATTTCTTATTTAATTGTGTTGAGCCAATCAATCCTCGACCTGAATCACTTTGGAATATATTAAATAATAAAGAAATTCAATGTCGATTTGTAAATCCATCATACCACCCTTCAACAAGTATATTAAATTTATCATTTTTGGAGAAGCAAGTACCAGTTTTATGGAGAAAATATTATCTACAATATCACAAATTTCATTCATTATAATTTAGTTCATTTTTGTTATAATAATTATTTTTCTCTCACAAACCTATTTATTTAGTTTATTATAGTTACATAGAATTATGTTATAAATGTGATTCATTAAACACGACTCCATCACTTTTTTAAGTAGTACAAATTTTTATTTTAATATTATTATTTCTGTTAAAATAATAATAACAAAATATAAATATTTAATAACAATTTTTTTGAAAATTAAACAAAAAACAAAATTTTATTTTTAAACAAATAAAATGTTTTTTTTTTCATAAAAACTAAGTTATTCATTAAACCAACTAATGGACAAAGAAACAATGTATATACTTTCACCATACAACGAAGAAGAAAAAAGAATTTTAATTAATACAGATTGTGAAAAATCATTTTATAGATTATATCATGAAACTCCACCACATTCAAAACACTGGTGTCATTCTCATTGTGTCTTTGGAGGTGGATTTTATAAGAATTTTTTTTCAATGATATTGTTCTTTTTTCCTACTGTTTTGTATTGCATTTCAACGTTTGTATTTTACTTCTTTTGATAAAGAACAACTAAATTTTAATTTTAGAATTCCAAATTTCTATAGAGTATATCCATTGTTGATTGTTCCATTTTTACTTTTGTTTATTATTGTTTGTATCTTTTATTTCAAAGCGTGTTATTCAAACCCAGGAATTATTCCAAGGAAATATAGAATTGGCAATGGTAATGATGAATTAAATAATTCAAGAATTGATGTGATATTACCAGATAATATTGTTGCATCAAGAAAATTTTGTATGACATGTTTAATAATTAAACCATTGAGATGTTCTCATTGCAGAATTTGTAATAATTGTGTTGAAGAATTTGATCATCATTGTCCATGGTTAGGAAATTGTATTGGAAGAAGAAATTATAAATCATATATGGGAATAGTATTTTTTTGTTCTGTATATTTATTTTATTTAATTATAACATCTTTCATAAGCCTTTTTATTGGGATTCAATATCCATTGACTTGGACAAGGTTTTTTGATAATTGGAAGTCTCACTGGTTTGTAGAGTTTGTTCAAATAATTTATTCTTTATTTATTTTTTCAAAGACTCAATAATTAGACCATTAACATGTATTTATTGTGTTCCTTGTTTTGGGCTTGTTTTTACATTACTTATATTTCATATATATCAAATATCACGAGGAATTACAACGAATGAAAGAATTAAAAAGAGATATATATAATCAAGGATTTATCAATAATTGGATTAAATTTCTGTTTAGACCTATTCCTCCAATTTATCCTTTATTTAAAAATAATTTCAAATAAAAAGAGTAGAAAATAATATTAAACGTAAATTGAATTATTAATTAGTGTTTGAATGCTTTTTGTGTAATGATTCTTTACATAAGAAATAATCAGAAAAATTAATTGGTTGTTTAACAAACACTGTAAAGTCACATTCAATTCCTTTTGCCCATTGAGGAACAACGAATTTATTTGATGTAGCACCACCAATAGTTTTTTTCTTTGGATTTAATACCTTTTTACCGTTTAGAGTAATGAACGTTTGTTCACTTAAATTATCTCCACCACTAGATTCAGAATCCATTTCAATCTCATTGTTATTAAAAGTACCTTCTGGTACTTCTACTTTTTTACTACTTTGAAGAGCTTTTGTTTTTTTATCTAAAATATCAGTAGTTTGATCTATTCTAGTAAGAGTTTCACAAAGCATATCATGTCTAAGAGTTTTCCAGTCTTTAGTAATAATAGGTTTAAATACTCTACAAATTCTATTTAACCTATCTACAATTGAACGATCCTCTCCAATTAAAGAACTATTTTCTAAATTATTCATAATAACAAATACTGTAGAATATAACCTCTTTTCTTCAAAAATAGGAATTAATTCATCTAATCTATTTCTATTCAAAAATTGATTGATTAAGAAATCACTATGAGTTGGTAATGGTGGAATTTTTTTATTAAGTTTTAATACAGTAGTAATTGCCATAGAAATATTAAGTTTATTAACTTTATATTTTGTAATTTGAGCATCAACCTTCTTAAACCAAGGATATGTACTATCATGAATATCTATTAATCGTTTTCTATTTAATGATGTTGGTTTTAAACGAGAAAAATTATGTACACAAACCTCTACTCTACTTTTATAATTTTCATCTGATTTTCTTATTTTTTCTATTTCTTTCATTGAATTAAAGAATTTATCATGTTTTGGAACCATCATTAATACGTGATAATAAACTACATTTTGAACTGAATTGAAAAATGATTGAAAATGATAGTCAATTCCTAATGGAATTGTGTCTACAGGATAAAATAAAATAATCCCATTTGTTTCTAATGATAAAGATGCTTTCTTTCTTTCAGATAAAATAGATGCATATTGTAATGCTGGTCCACATCCATGAGAATATCCAAGAATAAGAGTTCTATCTTCTCTATATCCTTTATGTGCCATTACATCAAAAATACTATCAAGCATCTTTTCCATTGAAACATCTTTCTTATTTTTATTTAATCCATATCCTGGATAATCAAATGCAATAATACGTGCTTTAAACATTTTACTTACCATCATCATTTCATCTTCAATATCTTTAAGGTCTTTTTCAGCACTATGAAATACAAAAAGAGAGAAGTTATATGGATTGCTATTTAAATTAATATTAAAATGGGGTTTTATTTTATTTCCTTTCTTCTTTATTTTTATAAATAGAAATAACAAACATCTTAGTTAACATAAATCTTACTGGAATAGGTTCACCTTCAGAAAATGGCGCCATTACTAATCCTTTTAATGACTCATCATAATTACATTGTTTAGGTGGATGATCTAAGAGGTATTTGTATTGTTCGGACATGATATAAGAGAGAATGTTAGTTTTTTTCCTTTTTATTTTTAACTTTTACTAAGAAAAACTTGAAATCTATTTTTAATATGTTAAAAAAAGGAAATATAATAATAAAATTGAACAATAATATTTTGTTATTCATGATATTCTCTTAATTTATCTAATACACTCTGATCAAAACAAGGCAAATTTGTTAAATATGAATGTAACGGTTCTATTTTTGCAATGTAATAATCTTCTTTTTGATATTTTAAATAATCTACTACAACTTCATAAATCTCTTTTGACTGAACAAAATTTATATATTTTTCATCTTCTCCTTTCTGTTGATAAAAGAAAGGTTCTTCACGTTTTATTTCTTCAATTGATTCTAACACTGAACCAATATATGGAATACAAAGTGAATGTTTTTTATATGCTACTTTAAGGCTTTTAAAATTTCCATATAATTTACTTGTCTCATCAATAAATTTATTCGCTTTCTCTGAAATGTATTTTGTTCCAAAAACAATAGAGATATGAAGCAATCCATCAAATATTCCAAATGCAGAGTTAAAGTCTCCTAATTCTTGTAATTTTTTTAAGATTTCAATAAAATGATTTTTCATAAATGCTCTACTTTCAAAATCTGTGAAGGATAATACTGAGTTGCATGTCCAATTACTTAAATCATTTATTCTTGCTTGGATCAATTGAATTGATGTTCCTTTAGAGAAAAAGTCATTTGTTCTAAGCTTAAAATATTGGTCAAATGAAATTGCAGTTAATTGCCTTGCAATAGTCATTGAGTCAAGTTCAGCCAATAAAATTAATGGTGATTTTGGCTCTGATGGAACAAAAAAATCATATATTGGAGACATACACCGTGCACGTTCTTTTTTCATAATATCTTCTGCTGTACTCATTCTTACTTTTAATGCTTCATTCATTGGAGAGTTTCCTTCATTAAGGAATTCCCAAACCTGAGGAATATTTATCTCATTATAAAGTGTTTGGATGATTGTTTGAGTAATAACCGCACAATGTTCTTGTGGTAATTTTCTTAGTATTTCTCCAATCTGTCCACCATAATGGGCTAATACTGAATATATAACATCTTTAACAGTATCATTATTTCTTCCTTCAATTAGTAGTCCAATTAATCCACCAGCAACAACCTTTCCTTTTATACTAATAACTTTCAAACTATCACTACAATTAATTTTTGATGTCAATGAAACATTATTTTCTCCAAGAGTCTTTAATGCAGCAATGTATAATCTTAAGTTATTCATCACAGAAGTACAAATAGCTATTAATTCTAGTAAACAAATATGCTCTAAACGATATCCACGGTCAATTCTCAAAACAGCTTTTTCATATGGTTGGAATGTCATTTTTCCTTCATCTTTTGGTTTAAAATGAATAATTTCCCATACAACACCTAATAATTCTGATCCTGCAGCTTGAAGTGCTTTTGATGCACTCTCAACAGCAATAATTCCACTCGACGTTCTTCCAGAATGAATATCAATTTCCTTTAATTTAGAAATTGAGCTACTAAAAATATCTTTCATATCTTCTGTTGCTTCAACAAAATATTGCTCCATTCTTTCTCCTACTACTTGAGCAGCTTTTAGAAAAACTTGTGGAACAAAATTGACTAATTGAACACATGCCTCTTTTAAAGCATTTGCCGCAATTTCTAATTCAGTAAATTTTTCTAATGCACCAAAACATGTAATATCTTCAATTAATGAAGGGACTGTTGCTGTGACTTTTATTAGTTCTATATATGCTATTTTTTCATACTCTTCCATTCTCAACCACATATCATCATTTTCAATTTCATGTTGTTTTAAAAAATGTGTTTGTCGTGTCATGGCTGCAATAATTCTCATTTTAGTAGAACTTTTTCTGATAGCAAATCCTGCCACATCCAATTGTGTTGGTAATCCATTTCTTTCCATAGAAAATATATCAATACTTTCATAATATTGTTTAATTGCATCTTTGATATTCATTCCTGAAATAATTTTGTTCGCAGTTGCATTTGCTTGACATTCACGATAAACAGAAACAATATCTCCATGTTTTGATGATTTAAATACTTGTGAGTAATTAGGTTTAATAAGTTTAATTTCTAATTCTTTTTTTCTTTTTTCTAACATTTCTTTTACTCTATTTAATATATATTCAATCTGTTCTATAGTTGCATCAGGGGGAAGACATTTCATAATATCTACATATTGATTAGTTTGAATGAGTGAATGTTCTGAACAAGTTAAACTTCTTGAATTAATTAATGAAGAGGATGATAGAGTACTACTACTTTCTCTTCTTAAAAATGGTTTCTGGCTTTGGGCAACTGAAGGAGATGCATAATTAAATTTTCCTTGTCTATTTAAAAACCCAGATGAGCGATGTTTTGTATTTTTCTCAGTGGGTTTAATAGAAGAAAACCCTGATTTCTTTCTTGGAGGGGGTGGTGGTAAAATTCCTGTAATTTCAACAACAATAGTTTGAATAGAGAGTAAATTCCCTAAAAGATCAGCACCATCTTCAGAACATGAATCAAGGGTATTAAACGCATTAATAACTTTGTCTTGTATTGATGGAGTAAAAGGAATACAATAACTGAGTTCATCAATTAATTCACTTATTTTGTTGGTTATGTTAAACTCCTCTTCTCCTTCTTTTTTCTACTTATAAATACATTTCTTTTCATTTTAAAATGAGATTGTAAATAATCAGAAGAGTAATGAAAATAAATAAAAAAAAATAGAAATAAGTATTATGATAAGAGCAAACAATGCCTTGTTGAACTTTTCCAATAAGTGAATAAATGTCATGGGTAATTTCTTGGATCCCCCGTGTTGAATAGTTCATAACTATATTTTCTAGTTGGTTCTTCCAAGTATGAAAAAATCAAATAATTTTAAGAACAGAAAATTCCCTTTGGTTCCTCAAAGGTGTTTTATTTTCTAAAAGTTTGTGTCATGTTATTTTTTTTTTTTAATATTTCTTTTTTGTTTTTTCAAATTATCTTGTTTTGTATCTTCTTTAAAATGAAGATATTTTAGTTTTGTTTTATTCTTTTTCTGCTAAGAAAATTCTCAAAAAAAATAAAAAAATAAAAAGTATCTAAAAAAAAAACTTTAAAATTAATTTAATGAACAAAAATCAATCAAAGAAAATTTTATGTATATCACAAATTGTTATGAGTTTATTATTCTTATTAATTGGACTTATTACTTCTATTAAATATATGAAACAAGACTTTATTGGAATAAGACTTATTTCAGTTGGATTTTCATTTATTGTCACTGGAATTATTGGAGTAATTTCTGGATATTTTATGAGTGACACTTATCCAAAGAAATTTTCTATTTTGTTAGAATGTTTCACAGTATTATTTACTATTGTTTTAATAATTACTTCTATTAGATTAATTTATAATGTAAAAAAAGTTAATGACCAATCTCTTCAATTACATTCAGTTGAACGTAATGTTTGTTTTATGTTTTTTTTATAAAATCTTTATGACATTGATGATGTTCATATTTTCAGTTCAAATGTTGTGGGTGGAATCATTATTATGATTGTAATGTTACAACACCTAGAGGAAGGAATTGTTATAAAGCAGTTGGAATTGGTTTGAAGTCATTAGGTTATATGTCAATTATTTTCTTATTACTTATATTATTCATTGAGTCTCTTCTGTTTTGTCTTTATTGGATAACAAAAAGTAATAAAGCTCATTTAGAAGACCAAGAAACAGACCCACTTCTTCCTAATGAAGATGATTTAGCACCATTCTGATTCAATGTTTTTTATTTTTAAAATTAAAACTTTATATTTTTTTAATAAAAAATAAATTAGTAAATCAACATTATTGTACTACATCATTAAACTGTTCCAAATTGTTGCATAGCAAGTGTATAATAAAATCCTTTCAAATCTATTAATTCTTGATGTGTTCCTCTTTCTGCAATTTTTCCTCTCATAATAACACATATTTGATCTGCATTTTGAATAGTTGATAATCTATGTGCAATTACAATTGTTGTTCTTCCTTTTGCTGCTTTGTCAAGTGCATCTTGTACAATCTTTTCACTTTCTGAATCAAGTGCTGATGTAGCTTCATCGAGTAATAACACTTTTGGATTTCTAATCAATGCACGTGCAATAGCAATTCTTTGTTTTTGTCCTCCTGAAATTTGTGCACCTCTATCACCTACCATTGTGTTATATCCTTCTGGCATTGCTGAAATAAAGTCATGTGCATTTGCCATTTTAGCAGCAGCATAAATTTGTTCATTACTTACTTCAACTCCTTTAGGTACTCCTCTTCTAATATTATCTATAACACTTTCAGCAAATAATACTGGTTCTTGTCCTACCATTCCAATTTGACTTCTTAAGAAATGAATATTCAAATCTTTGATATTATGTCCATCTAATAATACATCTCCATATGTTGGATCATAAAATCTTTCAATCAATTGAATTGATGTTGATTTACCACATCCTGATGCTCCTACTAATGCAATTGTTTTTCCTTGTTCTGCTTTAAATGAAATACCTTTCAAAACAGCATTGTCTGGTCTTGTTGGATATCTGAAACAAATGTCTTTAAATTCAATTTCACCTTTAACATCATTAAATGTTTCACCTTCTTCACTATAACAATCAATACTTGGTTTTCTGTCAAGAACATCAAATGTATTCTTTGCTGCTTCAATAGCTTTTCCAACATCAGGAATCATTTGACCTAAATTACCACAACTATTTGCTGCCATCATAATTGACATCATTGCCTTTTGCATCTTAGTAAAACTATCCATAAATTGAGCAGTGAATGGTAAAAATTCCATATTATAATCACTCTTCTTTTTGATTAAATAAGTTCCAATATAGAATGAATAGGCACTAATACAACTTGTTACAAAAGTATTAGCTGCAGAAACAAATGCCAATGTTGGACCCCATCGAAGGATATTCTTTTTGGGTCGTTTTAAATCAGCTGCAAATTTATTATAGAAGAAATCTTCTCTTGTTAATGACTGAACAGTCTTAATTGATTCAACAGCTTCTACTAATGTAATTCCAGATTGTTCATATGCAGCAGTTGCTGGAGATGATTGAATTGAATTTAATTTTCCATTTAAGAAGACAATAACAATTAAGACTGGTGCAATTGCCATAACACACAAAGCTACTTTCCAATCATAATAAAATGCTATTCCTACTCCAAACCCTACAGAAGAAAGAGTATTAACAACATTACCTACTCGTTCACCTGAAATACCTTTTAATGTTGTTGGATCAGATGCAAGTCGAGTTGTAACTTTACCAACCATATTTTCTTTTCTGTCATAATAAGAAATGTTTTGTCTTAATAATGCTGAGTATAATAATTTTCTTAATCTAACAATCATCTTTTCTCCTGCTGATAAGAATAATCCAAGATACATATATGTTGTTACAAATACTGCTAATCCAAAGAGAAGAATCCAAATACATTTATTTCTTACAGTATGGAGTTGTTCTGTTGTTGGTTCAACATCAGGACTCATTCCCATCAATGTCATCAAGAGTCCAATAAATTGAATCATATAAAATGGGAATACTGCACCTGCACCAATTCCTCCAATAAGTCCTAAAAATGATAACAACCATTCATGTCTGAAATTATTTAATAATACTCTTAATAATACAAATCTATTTGAGTGCTTTAAGTATTTTGTTTCAGCTTCATATTCTTTTGTTAATCGTTCAACAACATCACTACTTTCTAATGTACTACTCTCTTCTTTATGAAGTATTCCTTGTTCTGCCTCTTTATCTTCTTGTTCTCTAAATTTCTTTAAGTCATTTTCAACTGTTTCTTGATCAACTTCTTCTTCCATACTTTGTCTTTTAACTAATCCATAATATGTTGCTTTCAAATCCATTAATTCTTGATGTGTTCCTTGTTCAATAATTTCTCCTTGATGGAATACACAAATTCTATTTGCATTTCTAACAGTTGTTAATCTATGTGCTACAATAATTGTTGTTCTTCCTTGACTAGCTTTTTCAAGTGCTTGTTGTACAATCTTTTCACTTTGTGTATCAAGTGCTGATGTAGCTTCATCAAGTAATAAAATTGTAGGTTTTCTAATCAATGCACGTGCAATAGCAATTCTTTGTTTTTGTCCTCCTGATAATGCAGCTCCTCTTTCTCCTACCATTGTATCATATCCTTCTGGAAGATGAGAAATAAATTCATGTGCATTTGCCATTTTAGCACATTCAATCATCTCTTCTTCAGTTGGTGTTTCTCCATCTTTAGCTCCAAGCATAATATTTTCTCTAATAGTACATGCAAACAAAATAGGTTCTTGTCCAACTAATCCTATTTGATTTCTTAACCATTTCAAGTTCAACTCTCTTAAATCATTTCCATCTAATGTTACTTTTCCACCAACTGGATCATAGACTCTTTGGACTAATTGAATTGTAGTTGACTTACCACATCCTGATGCTCCTACTAATGCAACTGTTTCTCCTTTCTTAATTTCAAGGTCAAGTCCACCAAGAATTTGTTTATTTGGTCTTGTTGGATATCTAAATTGAACATCTTCTAATTTAATATTTCCAATACACTCAGTTGGAACTAATCCAGCTGTAGATCTACAATCAATATCTGGTATTCTATCAATTGTTTGATAAATTCTATATGCAGCAGCCTGAGCAGTAGATAAAGCATTGATTGGCATTGCAACTTGGGCAATACTCATTGTAGCCATTAATACAGACATAAAGACAACCATAACAGTACCAGCAGAACAATCTTTACTTGCACCTTTACCCCTAATGACTAATGAGCCATACCAAGAACCAAGAGCTAATGAACCCATCATAAAGAACAATAACATTCCAAGTCCTACACCAACAACTTGAGCTCTAAGAATATAATACTTTTTAATTGAATCCATTTTTTTATCATAAGCATCAGCAAATTCATGTTCTTGACCAAGTGATTGAACTGTTCTCATATTACCAATTGTAGCTTCAGCAATAGCACCAGCGTCACTTAAACTATTTTCTCCTTTTGCAGTAAACTTTGTTGCAAAGAAACCTAAAAATAATACAGTAATTAACATAAATGGAGTGACTGCCATGATAACTAAAGTAAGATCCCAACATTTAGAGAATCCAATTGCATATCCAGCAATAAAACCACATATTGTTTGGAATAAAACTCCAAACTTTTGAGACATTCCATCTTGAATTTGTTGGACATCAGAAGCAATTCTAGAAGTTAATTCACCAGATTCATGGAAATCATACCAACCAGCATCTTGTCTTAACAATGCTCTGAAATATAACATTCTAATTTTAATTCCTTGTCTCTCAGATAATACAAAGAAACAGAAATGCATTAAGAACATACCAACAGTTGTACCAATAGCAAAATAGATCATCTTTAATACAAGGTCATTAATAGTATCTGCAACAGAAGCAGTTAATTCATAATTCATTTCAATTTGTTCTGCTTTTGAAATATTACTAAAATCCATATTTTGCATAGAAGATGTATCAAATGTATCCATCATATCACCCATAACCAACATTTGCATTGGTTGTAAAACACCTGCAGCCATAGCACCAATAATTCCACCAATTAATAAAATATAATCAATAAAACCTGCATATCTATATAACTCTTTGATTGATACACTTCCATGATCATTTGGTTTTTTATGTTTTCTAGCTAATTCATCTGGATCAGGAGTAACATCAAACACAGAAAAGTCGTCAAAATTTGATACTTTTGTTTCACTAGGATTACTAATCATATGTAATACTTTTTAATGAATATGTCATAATATTTTCGAGTTTAAATACTCATCTTAGAGTGATTTTAATTATTATTTTAGCACTTAAACCTACTTTTCTTCTTTCATTCACGCTAGATACTTTCAACAGTAGTCCTTCAAATTGACTTTTTCTGTTTATATAAATAGAATTTCATTATTTAATACTGCTGTTTTTTTTTTTTTGTAGCAATTTTCACTTAACCTAAAAACCTTTTTTCCACTCCCTCATCACTTATTTCTTAATTTAGTTATTTGTATTTCTTTATTACCATTTATATCATTTTTATGTTATTAAAAATTTGTGTTATTTGATTTTATTACTTTTACTTCAATTATAGCAGAAGAATTAAAAATAGAATTAATACGATAAAAATGGTATATAAATTATGTCAAATTAGACTTAGTACTATTATTGTAAAACTAAGATGCCAACAATTTTTATTAAACAGAAGTTTTTTATTTTTTTTTTGTTTATTTTTCATTTACAAATGAGAGATCGAAGGTGGCACGTCTGAAACACCACACACAAACATTAGTACAAATTCATTCTTCGACTCTCCCAGTTATTATCTGGTTATGACGGTGCCTTTGAATTAGGAATGTATTAGGGAATGCTGCAAAGGGTGCAGCAAGAGAATACAGTAGAATATTACATGGATGTAATATAAGAATCTACTGAAGTGTGGGTATGACTAAAAGAAGATTAGTCAAAGTAAGACTAAAAAGAAGATTAGTCAAAGTAATACAGTAGTAATAAAATGATTCCTTCTCCCATTCATAAAATAAGAAAAATGAAATTCCTGAAAATTAAGGCAGAAAACAAACAAAGGCTTAAAAAGAAGAAATAAGCAGAAGAAGTTTGAAAAAACCTTAATAGGAAGAAATAAAGCAAAGAAGTGGTTTCCTCATTTTGCAAGAAAAACATAAAGAATAGGTTTAACAAAGAGATTACTCTTTTTTAATAAGCTCAGGGATGGGATTAGTCTCCCCTGAGCTAGGAAGAATAGATGAAAATTCTATTAATACTTAATTAACTAATTTTTATTTATTTTTCATTTACAAATGAGACAGAATGATTTTTAAGTGTGTAATTCATAATTTGAATCACTAAACATTAAATTGATTATGCAATAATAAACGATAAAAATTAAAAATGATTTATTTTTAAAACCAACTTCAACTTTTGAAAATAGCATAAGTCTGAAAAAAGGATTGGAAGCTAAAAAAGAGGTATATTTATTGTAACACTTATGTATCTCTTCATAGAAAGTAATGCCTTATTTAAAAACAAAAAAAAAATAAAAATTTGTTATTCAAAACATAAAAGTATGACAATAAAATAAAATACCTAATTCTAAAAACAGATTTACTATTCTTTAAATAATTTTTGTTAAATAAAACAAAGTTTAATATGAATAAAAACAAAAATGAATAAACATAATTATTAAGCTCGTATGATTTTCTTTTTCATTACATTTGATTGTTGAACCCAATACTGTAATGTACTTGGACATAAATCTGAATACAACCCAGGATATGTTTTCTGAAGATGGTTTGTTGCATGTGTTAATCCTAGTTCCTCAGCTTTCTTCACTGCTTCAACCTTTAATCGAGAATCCCATCTTTTCTTTTTGTACTTCCGTTCTTTAATTAGATTTGGCTTAGTTACTGCTTCTCTTTCTGTTTTTGCTTCTTCCCTTTTATTCCCATATGCTGAAATGACATAATACCTCTGACTGTCAACTGGTGTGAATTGTGAAAGTGACATCAAGAATGTTGTCCCACAGTTCACATCAATCTCATTTTACTGTCTTTCATTATCCAAAGAAGCAATTCGAATAACTGAAGATCTTTGGACTTTAAACACAGAATGTTCGTAGCTTGTCTAATCAGTTCCAAGTCATTGTCTTGTTTGTCCAATAATGGACAAGTGATAATATTCCACCCAATGGGATGTTAAGAAATTTCATATAAAATTCATATGATATCTACCATAAAAGTGCTTCATTGTAAATTTATATCTGTCTCTCCCCTCTTATTTATCCTCTCAGAATAAATTATTTGACATAGAGTTATATCATTTACACTTTCTTCTTTCTTAAATAAAGAAGACGTTAGAATCAATCTCGAATGACTTTATTTTTATAAATTTTTTACAAGACACTGATTTGTTCAAATCATTTCTGAGTCTGAGGTCTTCGACAATCTTCTTGTTGACAATCAGAAAATAAAAATAATGAAAAGTTCAAGAACTTAAAAAGAGAAGATTTTTATTTCATAACAAAATACTAATTATTATATAACTAATGATATTAATTAATAAAATTATAATAACGTCAAAAGTTATTTTTCGTTAAAAACTACATGAAAGCTAATTATATCTTTTTCATCACGTCTTCTCAAATAATTATGGTAAACAACATAATAATTATTCTTTTCTGGATAAATTGGAATTGGAAAAATAACTGTGAGGTTTGGTTGTTTTACACAAGTCTTTTTTGGTAATAAACACATTGATATTCGAGTTGCTGGACAAACAAATACAATTGGATGTTTTGTATTATTTATTGTAATGAGATAATTTGACACAAGACCTTTATTTTTAATGATTTCTGTTTGAATATGGTGATATGTTTGTTGATCAAAAATACTTTGTTCAAATGGATAAACATAAACTCGATAACTACACTTCATATTTAATCCTTCATCATCACAATCAAAAACACAACTTATTGGATTTCCTCTTTTTTTTCCATCAACAATCTCAATGAATTTTTGTTTTATTTTTATTACAACAGAATCAACAGTTGAATAAAACAATTTTTTAATTTGGAAATGAATAAGTGATTCACTTTCATCATTTTGAAATTTTTTATGAATATTCTCTTTTTGAATGGAAACAGGTTGAATTGGTTCTTTTTTTTCCTGTTTTTCTAGAGATTTCTCTTTATTTATTTCATCTGATATTAATGAGGATTTATCACATGATTGTTGGTTATGTAATAAAGAAGTAGTTTGTAAACTTTTATCTTCTCTTTCTTTCATTTGACGGTCCATTTCTTTTTGTGTTTTGAGAATCATTTCATTCATTTTTTGTTCTTCTTCATTTATTTCATTTGGAGTAGTTTTTTCTCTTCTTTCAAAACTATTCTCACTTTGTTCATCATCTGTTATTTCTTCATGAGCAATTAGTCGAGATATGAATGGTGACCTAAAACTAAATCCATTGAAATCTCTATTCCTCAAACATAACTTTTGAGTATCACATTCACTTTTTGATCTTAATTGTCCTAATGGCTCATTTAAATAACTTCCTTTGAATCGTTCAAGCATATCTTTTTCTCCTTCAATTTCTCGCACTACTGTCCCAGTTTTTGTTGTTGTTTTACTAACTTTTGCTGCATTGGTGTCTTCAAAAAGCACTAAATCATTTTCTATCTCTTGAACTTTTGGTAACACATCATCTTCAGATGAAATTCTTTCTTTTGAGTTGTTAGAATTATCCAAATCAATTGGTCTATTTATTTGTTTATTTAGTGTCAAAGGATCGAATGAACAAGGGATATTAAAAAATTGTGTTAGTAATTCTTTAAATGAATTTAACCATTTACAAGCTTTAGAATCATATTGACTAAAAATTTCAAAGTAATGTTGAATATCAAAAATTATTATAGAATAATAATTGAATAATATATTTAAATAATTATCATTTAAAGTACATAATGCAATTGTTTTATTACACCAATTAATAAATTCATTTTGAATTGTTTGATCTTCAAACTCTTTCATAACAATTTCATTTTTAAATTGAGTAGCATTATGAGTATATTTATGTTTAATAACTTGTATTAAAAAAAGAGTTAACCCGTTGAGAAAAACACTTTTCATTTGATATTGTTTTTGATGAAACTCAGAAAGAATAAGAAACAACTGAAATGTATTTTCCATTACCCTTTCTTTAATACTTTTATGTTCCATTTGTTCAATAGTTTTTTTTAATGTATTATGGTAAATTTCATTATGTTGTGTTTCTTCTTCCATATCTTCCTTTTTCTTTTTTCTTTTATTTTTCTCTTTTATTTTAAACAATTAAATTTATTATTTTAAAATTATAAATAAAATTTTTAAGGAAATTAATAATAAATTTAATTCCTTTTGTTTTATTTCATTCACTGCATATTTACTTGTCCTATCCTTTTCTACTTCTTTACAACAGAAGAGAAATCTACCATCTCTACTTTCTTTCTTTTTGTAACTTTCTTTTCTTTTTTTTTCTCTTTCTTTTCCGCTTTTTCTGTTTTGGCAATTGTTGCCTCTTCATCAGCTTTTTGATCTTCCTCAGTTTTTCTAATCAATTCATCAAGATCAATAACACCTTCTCCTCCAATTCTATTGTGTTGCATTCCAAGATATGCAGCCATAAAATCATCATCAACTGAACTTTTTCCTCCTTTCTTTTTAGGAATATCACTAATTTCAACAATTTTACCTTTGCCTTTCTTTTTTGGTTCAGGAATTGTTTCATTTAATTTACCTAATTCATATTTGTCATCATCACTATCATCATCTTCTTCCCTTTTCTTTCCTTTTTTATTTTTCTTTTTAGTAGTCTTTTTAACTGCTTTTTTTGTTTCTTTGTTGACTGGTTTTTTTTCTTCTTCTTCTTCACTTTCTTCATCAGAACTTTCTTCTTTTTTTCCTTTTTTTGACTTTACTACTTTTTTTGCCTTTTTCTTTTCAGCTGCTCTGTTTAAGACTTCTTGAGTTTCTTGATATTCTTTCATTGCTTCATCATACTCAGCTTTTTTTTCTTTTTCCATTGTTAAGAATTTTTGTTTTTGTTCAACAGATAGTTCTTTCCATGGTTTGTTTCCTAACTCAGTATCAGCTTTATGTAATTGGAAAGCAGTAGGTGGTGGTTGTGGTTTTGATTTTTTGACTTTTTTAGGTCCTTCTTCACTTATAACTTTATGTTGTTGTTTTTTGTGTTCTTGGTGTTGTTTAGACTCAGCACGTTCTTCTTGTTGTTTAATTTTTTCCATTTTCTTATTGTAAGCAATTTTTTCTTCTTCAGTCATCATTTCAAGCTTAGCTTTTTCTTCTTCCTCCCTTTTCTTTTTCTTTTCTAATTTCTTTCTTTCTTTTTCGTTAATTACTTCATCAATTTTAACTGTTTCTTCTTCTGCCATTTTTCTTTGTATTTATCAAGTTTCTTTTTTTTTATGTTTTTGAAAAACCCTGAAAGATGTTATTAAGTTATTAAGTCGTGAGATATAAAACAGAAACACTTTTTAATCATTTTCTTTTTTTTCAGGAAAGGATTGTTGTTTACTATTAGTTGAATTTATTCTCATACATTGAAGTAATTTTTCAGCGTATAATGGATATTGATTAAAACAATACTCTATTTGACTTCCTTTTGTTTTAAGTTTTGAGAATTGTGAAGAGGTAATAATTTTTGTAATAATATTTTTTAAATAAGGTTCCATATTTTTAAGGTTGAATGTTGTTATAGCATCAATATTATCTTCGATAGATAGATTAATTTTGTCAAAATCATTAGTGATAAGTTTTGGGATAGAAATTTCAAAAATAACATTTTTTGTTAATGAGAATGTTTGGTTATTATTTATCATTATTTTATCAAACATTTCCTTAATTTCTTGTTTTGTTAAATATTTAAGAATGTTCAATACTCCAAAACTAAATGTTTGTTTGTTTCTTTTACTTAATTCTCCCCAACTGAGCCATTCTAATTCAATTTTATTTTCTAATTTTGTTATTGGCATAATATTTTTTCCTCCTTTTGGAACAATTAATAATTTTATCTTTTGTTTGTTAAGTTCTTCATAATCAAAAAAATTATTCATTCCTTCTTCTAACATTATAACTGCTTCAGTATTAATATTGTCTCGTTTTTTTATGAAATTAATCCAAGGAATAATAGATTCTTTCATCCATAAATTAATATTCTTTTTATTTATTCCAGGTATTTCTTGTTCAACAAATATTGTGTTATACTCAAAAACTAATTTTAATTCTTCAATTTCTGTTTTTGGTAAACAACACAATGAAGGAATTTCTTCACCACTTCCAGTAATACCACAAATAATCCATGACATTCTACTTTCAACATCTAACCAATATTTCTTATCTGATATTGTTAATACTTCTAATTCTTTTTCATAAGTTTGTTTTCCAATATCAATAATATTTATAAAAAGTGAAGGTGAAAGGTTATTTAATAGTTGTTTAGATTGATTGAGAAAGTTGTTTATTTGTTCTTCTTCTAAAATATGACTTTTTAGTTCAATTTTATTATATTTCCAATATTCATTTGTTTCTTTTAAAAATTCTTTTCTAAAGTTATTAGAAAGAGAATATTCATCACAAATCATTTTAAATGTAGTTTTTGTTATTGCTATTTCTTTTGTTATTAATTCATTAAAAGTTGTTTTAATATTTGTTATTATATTGGTGTTATTATTATTAATACTTTCTTCTATAGCTTTTACTATTGTTGAAATACAAATAATTGGTGAATAACAACCTTTTCTTTTTTGTTTTATTTCTTTTTGTTTTTGAATAATTTTTTTTGCTTCTTTAATTATTTCAATATGTTCAAATTTATTTTCATTTTGAATGTCTTCAAATAATTCTTCAATGACTTCTTGTTTAATTGGAATTTTTCTAATTTCTATTTCAATATATTCATTTTCATTAATATGATGTTTTTTTTCTGTTGGCAAAACAGTAATTTTGTTTGATTTTATTTTTTCTGCTTCCATAGGATGACAAAAAGTCTCTTCGTCCTTTTTTTGTTGTTGATTAGGTATAGTAAGAGTTGTCTCTTCTTTTTTTATTTTCAATGATGATACTGTCTGACTTTTTTCATTTTGTTGTTGTGTCAGGAGATTTTCTTCTTTTTCTTTTCTTAGATATACCTGTTGTTTTATATTTAATTCTTTTGTTCTTTTTGGAGTTTTTTGTACTTGAAGAGAAAGTGTTGTATTGTCGTTTGTTTTAACTTCAAAAGTATTATACGTAGATGTAATAACGTTATTATTACTGTTTTGTTTTTTACTACAAGCCTTTTCTTTTTTTTCATTTTCTAGAATATTTAACTTAGCAAATCCTTCAGTCTCAATGCTCTTTTTAATATTCTCTTTGTTTTGTTCTTCTTTATCTTTTGTATCTATTTGGTTTGTGAATTGGTCATCATCTAATACAATAATAGTTTTATTTTTGTTTTGAATGGTAGTGAAATCTTCTTCACTCGATATAGAAATTGGCTCTGAATTTGTTCCTTTATTTGTTACACTTTTGTCTTGAAATATAGTTTTTTGTTTTTCTATTTCAGAACATGAAGAGTCTTGTTTTGGTTCAGTTATTAAAGTCACTTGTTTATTATGTTGAGTGTTTGTTGTTTCTTGAGTAGTCAAAAAATAAATTTCTTCCAGTTTCTGAAAGAAATCAACAGATGAATATTTTATTGGGTTAGACTGTGGTAAACTACAAGATTTTAATTTGTTATGAAGAGGTTCTATTATCTGTTTATCTATTGAATTATAAGGAACTGGTTCAGGACAGAGAAATGAATCAGTTGGAGGTGTTTGTTTTTGGAATTCATTAAATGAAAAGAAGAAATTGTCACAACAGTCTGAAATAAGCTTATTTGAATTTAAAAGAAATTCAACCATTTCACCAACCTTTAATTTAGGTTGGTCAATAAGTCCAATAACATTATTAAAATAATGTTCTACGATATATTTTTCTAACATAAAAGTGATTTGTACCATTGGTTCTGTATAGTCAAAATATCGTTTTGGAGAAAATAAAAGTTGAATTTTGTTTTGGCGAAGAATATCCATTAAAGGAATAAGATATTGCTTATAATAAACATTAAGTATAATATAACTTTCACCATAATATCTATACTTTTTTCTTTTTGCATTTATTTTTTGAATTAATGAACCACAAACCCAATGAACAAAATGTGACGAAGAATAAAATAATGAATGTGCGTCACAAAAATAAATGTATTGTTTATCTATTAAACTACTTATATATTTTTTTGGTAAACATACTAATAAAGGAAGAAATGAACCATCAGAACATATACAAACACATACATTAGATTGTTTAGACTCTCTTTCAAGTATTCTTGGTTCATGTTCAGTTCCTCTCTTAACGTATTGAAGGATTGATGTTGGTGTTAGTTGATATCCTATTTCGTCAATAAAGAAAATAAATTCTTTTGGAATTCTATGAGTAGTAACTGAGACTAATTTATGAAAATCATTGATAACATTCATCGGAGATGAAGTCATGACATCTTTTAATGCTACATCAATTTTGAAGTAATTTAATTTTGAACATTCAACCTGAAATAATGATTCATCAAAATTAATTTTATGAAAAATACAATAGTCTTGTACTGTGCTTGTTGTTATTGCAATCCGTTCGTTATTCAATTCTTCCATAATCCTAAGAAGTTGTGTTTCATTGTGTATTTTCAAAACATTCCCAAAACCCCAACTCATTTTATTTTTTATTTATTTTTTTAATCAATTTTTATTTTTAGTTATATAAAACACAAATATTATTTCCATATAAAAAATAAACAGGAATTATTATGAAGTTAATATTTAATATTACATACATTTTTATCCTAGAATATCAACATTTTTATTCATCTTATTCTTAACATTATTATAACTTTTTTTTTATTAAATATCAATAAAGTATATAACAATTTTTCTTTTATTTCTTACCATTGTACATTTATTAAAATATAGTTTTAATTTTGTTTGACTAGATATTAATTTGTTGTACATTATATTAACTATTTCTTAATTTTTCATTCTATTCTCATGTTTGAATTTCTATTCATTCTGATTATATTTTATAGTCATTCGTTAAGAAAAAAGGTCAATTAATAGATATATCCTCAATTGGATTTTATGAATATTGAGAAGTGATTATTTCAGTTTCTTCATTATGCTCTATTGGTGTAATAGAGTTCATTTCTATCATGCTCGCATTAGATTGTTCTTCTTCTAATGTGTTGCCAGAATTGAATGTGTAAAACATTAAGTCTTTCATATTTTTTATAATATTGTTCATAGGATTTTGGCAAAGTCTAATTGTAATTTCAGTGATTTTAATCTTATTATAGACTCTTTATGTATTAATCCATTTATTGATAATATAACAGGTATTATTTCTACATATATTATTTCTCTATTGTTTCTTAATTTCTATTTGAATTCTTTGTATTTATTTATTTATTTTATGAATATAATTTAATTCTAAATTATTATCTTGACATATAACAACATCATTAATATATCATTTCTTTTCTTTCATATTTTGATATTATATATCTGGTCTTCTAGCATGGAAAGAATGGTCACTAACAAATAAATCTTTATTGTAATTTATAACCATTTCATCATTATTAATACATTATTGAGTATTAAAATCAATAGCATCAAATTCATTAAGATGGGTAATTAATATCTGTTTATATATTTGTTTACAAACATAATCATGTTTTAATATTTGGTTCTTTTTCATTACAGGACATCCTAACAATATATGACTAATAGATGCAATTGTGTTAGGACAATGTTTACAATATTTTAAAGCATCATTTTGGAGTATTTTAGATTTAATACTTCCTGTCATAGTTACTCCTTCTTGCATCTTTACTATTTGGAGAAATGCATTTCTTTTTATATTTAATGACCTCCAAGTGGTTACTGTTAATTTCTTATCATTAAAAGTGCCATTTGCACATCTTATATATTCACCACATTTCTTTTCTTTCCATTCACTTAAATATCTATCATTTAATTCATTATTTACCCATTCAAATATTTCCTTTACATTGTGCTTTCTTTCATTTAATTCTATTATCTCCATTAATTCATTAAAATTAATCTTCTTACAAAATGTTTTCTTCATTCTTTTAATTATTCCATTTGGATTTTCTTTTATTGTTTCTATCATTTCTCCTATTTCTGTGCTTGATTTCCACTTATATTTTAAATATATTCTTAATAATTCTTTAGCACATTCATCTCTTGCTGACATTAATCCTAATCCCAATTCATTTATTTTAACATATAATCTACTTTTTGGGATATTTCTACTGTATAATTGGAGTTGTATCAATGATTTTCTTATTTGTTTATCTATCTTCTCCAATTCTCCTAGTTTCCATGTGACAATACTAAATCCATATCTTAATTTAGAGATTATATCACTATTAATCTTTCTTATTGTAATGAGGCTGCTGTATTTCATAGTGTTTAATGATGATAAAATAGAAGACACGTCATTTAATATTCTTGTACATTATTTATTAATATTTACTTTATCTCCTATTTCAATACCAAGATATTAATAAGGATTATCATTAGTTACTCTTGGTAGTTCAGCTAATTCTCCATTTATTTGAATATTAATATTAGTCATTATCCCACTCTTTTCTACATTAATTTTTAATCCTATTGCATTAAATATTTCTTTAGTTAATTTGTGTGCTTTTTCCATTTCATCGAGGCTATTAGTCATTATCTTTAAATCGTCCATATACAATATGTGGTTTAACTGGACTTGTTTTTCTTCTCCATTCATTTTAATATTTAATTTGTTTATTTGTTTATCTAATTGTTTAGATAATATATCAATAGATAATACAAATAAGAGTGGAGATAAACTATCATTTGTATTATTCCTTTTTCTACATTAACTATACTTACACTTTCTTGATTATAATATAAATTAAGTTGTGTATTAATTAATATATATAATATACTATTAATTAATACAAGTGGGATATTAAAATAAATTAAACATTGTTTAATCCATTGATGATTAATACTATCATATGCTTTGGAGACGTCATAGTATGTTTCTACCCACTTCCATTTACCCTTTAATAATAATTGTTGGATTATAGTGTTGTATAACAATCCTTCTTTTGATGATATGTATATTTTTTACATTCAATTTGATTTAATGATAGTTGTTTTTCAATTGGATTTAGCATCAGCTGGCTTTCTATTTTCATCTTTAATATTGATGTATATACTTTTAACAAACAATTTAAACAAATTATTTGTCTGTAATTCTGTGTTTCTAATTTATCTCATTTCTTATATATTAATATTGTTCTTCATTGAATAAAGTGAGGAGGTATTTCATTAGGATTATTTAACCATTCATTAAATAATTTTATTAAATATTTCTTTGGTTGTTCTAAATATTTAATCCAAAATCCTTGTATTTTGTCAATTTCATTTTACTTTCAAATTAAGCAGTAAATTTAAGAGCACAGTCTAATTCATTTGGAGTGATTATGAACATTCTATCATTAATTCTATTTTCAATTAATATTTCATATAAATTAATATTCAGGAAATCTATATTAGTATTAGTTTCATAGATTCCTTTCCAGAAATTAATAGTGGAGATATTATCTGGATATTCATCTTCTTTAGGCTTATTTAGATGTTGCCTTTTTCCATATTTCATCATTTTATAATTCCATCTTATTCTTTTCCAATTATTCTTTCTTGCTTCTATTTCTATTATTTTCATCTTTCGGAGGTATTTATAATAGTTTATTTGTTTATTTGTTTTTATTTTAATATGATATATATCATATTTCTTAATATGTAATATTCTTTTTAATTTCATATATTGTTTATTATTAAGTAAATCTCTTAATCTACATATTTTTGTTTGTTTTATTCTTTCTATACTTCTCTTTCAACTTCTTTCTTGTTTATTTTTATTAATTATGTTAATAGTGGAAGCTACAGATTTAATATAATGATAATAATCATCTAATGTATTGATTGATATTTCATTTTTATTAATAATATTGATTATTTGATGTATTTTCTTCTTATTGTAATAATAGTTAATAAATTGTACATCTTCTTGTTCTTTCTTTTCTTCTTCTTTAAATATTTTCATTACCTCCTCTTCTTCTATTTCTTCTTTTTTGTTCACTTTTGATATTATTTCTTTTAATTCATTATCTTTCCATTGATGTTTTATTATTTCTTCCTCCATTATTCTATTGATTTCTCTTTTAATTTCATTCTTTATTTTAAATGTCTTCTTTAATATTTCTTTATATTCATTAATATCATTTACTTTAATTCCAAATTCTTGTATTAATCTTTCTATTATTTCTTCTTTAAGTTGACATCTTAATTTTCTTTCAAATAATTTCAAAGCAAAACATTTATAAAGTGTTAAAATTTCTTCTTTTCTATCTGTTTGCTTCCCCCATTTTTTTTGGTTGTCTAATTCTAATGTGGTGATCTTCTTATGCTGAATATCAATTTCTTCAATGGATTTCTGCATTAACTTTCTTTTTTTTTGGAAGATCATCTTCACTTGATGATATTTCATCAGCTACTACCACATTGGGGGTGAGGTCATTCACAATTTGTGTTTCAGATGAGTCTGTTATATTGTAAGTTACCTCATCTTTCTTTTTTTCTTCTTGTGTATTTTTATTTTCTAATTTAGATAATTTATCTTTCAGAAAGAGTAATTGTTGTGTTAAGTTATTTACTTCAGACCTTTTTCTTTCAGATTCAGCATGGAATTTGAATATTTTTTTATCGCACTTGTGGTTTTTTGTGCTTATCTCATTCTTATGCTTCTTCTTTAATGCCATAATATCTTTTGTTAGTTTATTAATGGTTTATTCTTTTATTTGTATTTCCTTTTTCATTTCTTCTTTCTCTTTCATATCCTCCTCCACTTTCTTTTCTATTTCTTCTACTCTTTTTTTCCTTTTTACTGTTTTCTTCTTCCTTTTCTACCAGTCTCTTCTTCTCTCCTTTAGTGATCTTCTTTTCATCAGCAAGCCTAGCTTCTACTCTCGTAGAATCTTTATCATCGTCTTCTTCACTTTCAATACTCATTACATAGTTATTGTATATTCTATTATCATTAATCTCATTTGGGTTGTATTGATTATTGTCTTCTTCCATCGTCATACTAATAGTCTCTTCTTCCATTCTGATTGTTTTGGTTTTTTCTCGTGCAAGAAAATACCATTTTCTCCATATTGTTGATGATGTATATTCTTTAATCTTGGTATTTTTAATTTCTTCTACTTCTTGTGGTGTAAGTATTTTAATTTCTTCTTCAAAGAGTTTTTTCCAATATTCTTTGTTTTGTATTTCAATCATTTCATTTATTTTATTTCTGTTTTGTTTCTTATTTTAATATTGTTTATACCTTCTTTGAGTGTTATTGTGGTACTTGTTTTTCTTATATTGATATTGTTTATTTCTGTTGAAATTATTATTAAAGTGTTTATGACGATGATTATGAATGAAGTGATGAGTGAAACGATTTGTATCATCTATGTTGTGATATTTATGGTAATAATTGTTATTGTAATGGTTAGTGTGATTATTCATGTATCTCTGTCTATACAGATAAT